CCCTAAGATGGGATATGTTAGGTTTTCTCCCTTTAAGTAACTCATAGGGAGTTTTCTCTACAAGAGGTCTAGTCATGCATCTATTGATTATGTACCATGCAGTGTTTATAGCCTCTGCCCAGAAGCTGTGAGGTAGTTTACTAGAAAGAAGCATGGTCCTTGCCATATCCTCAAGGGTCCTGTTCTTCCTTTCAACTACCCCATTTTGCTGAGGGGTCCTAGGAGCAGAGAAATTATGATCTATTCCATTTTCATCACAAAATTCACCAAATTTTACATTTTCAAATTCAGTTCCATGATCAGACCTAATTGATGCAAGTTGATTTCCTAACTGTTTTTGAGTTTTTCTAACAAAAGCATTGAACATTTCAAATGCTTCATCTTTAGAGGTTAGAAATAGCACCCAGGTAAATCTAGAGTAATCATCAACAAGCACCATTACATATCTCTTTCCACCTCTGCTCATGGTTCTCATTGGACTGCAGAGATCCATATGAACCAGTTCCAACGTCTTGGACGTACTTACCATTTTCTTGGATTTGAAGGATGACCTTACCTGCTTCCCCCTTGCACATGCCTCACAAACTTTGTCTTCCTTAAACTTGATATTACATAACCCTATCACCAAGTCTTTGGAGACTAATTTGTTCAATTGATTTAGACTGGCATGAACAAGTCTTTTGTGCCAAAGGAGGGGATCATTAATTAACACACTTAGGCAAGTGAGTTCATTTTCAGAGAGAGTTGACAAATCTACAATGTAAATATTGTTAACTCTCTTTCCCTGCAAAACAATCTTGTCAGTAGTAAGGTTAATCACAAAGCATTTGGTAGAGGTGAAAGCTACAAGATTACCTCTGTCACACAGTTGTCACACACTTATCAGGCTATATTTTAAGCCATCTATCAAATAGACATTCTCGATGGAATGAGAGTCTGTCTTTCCTACCTTTCCAACCCCAATGATCTCACCTTTCTTTCCATTTCCAAAGGAGACATTACCTCCTTTTAGGTTCTCAAGTGAAAGGAACTGGTCCTTGTTCCCAGTCATATGTTTTGAGCAACCACTATCCATGTACCATATTTGGCTACTCCCCTTCACTTGGATCTCCTGTTCATCCTCTGATTCTCCGATGGCCATGAGAGCTTTCTCATCTTCAGCTTCATCTTCTAAGCCCTCATCTGAGGTTTCTCCCCATGCAGCAACCATAGCTTTAGTTGAACCTTTGTTCCTTTTTGGTTGGACCTGTTCCTTCTTCCTGTTTCTCCGTTCAGCTCTTTCTTTCTTCCACTCAATCTCCCATTGAGGGCAATTCTTGATCATGTGATCTGTCTTACCACACTTATAGCAACCATCATTAGTCTGCTTCTCAGGAGCCCGAGATTTGTTGGAGGTTATTCCTCTTGAAGGACCCTTTCCTCTCATAAGATACTTTTTGAAATCCCTGGGTATCATAGCCATCTCATCATCTTCAAGATCTGATCCTTCTGAAATTCTGAGAGCCAGACTTCTTTCTTTCTTTGGAGCATCCAACTTCATAGTCTGCCTTCTCAATTCATAGGCAGTCAGATTTCCAATCAGTTCATCCAATTTTAGGGTAGCAATATTCTTGGATTCCTGAATGGCTGTGATTTTGCTTTCCCAGGAAATTGGCAGAACTCTAGTTAAGATCTTCTCAACCTTGTCTTCTTCCAGGATAAACCTTCCAAGAGACTCAAGTTCATTTTTCAGTGTAGTGAACCTGGTATACATCTCTTGGATGGTTTCTCCATCCTTCATAGTAAAATTCTCATATTGAGAATATAGCAGTGTTCCTCTTGACCTCTTCACTTGAGGTGTTCCTTCATGAGTCACTTGTAAGGTGTCCCAAATTTCCTTGGCAGTGGTGCAGCTTTGGATCCTGCTGTACTCATCTGGACCAAGTCCACATACTAGCCACTTCTTGGCCTTAGCATTCTTTTCCCATTTCTTTAAGTCTTCAGCAGTGCAATCAGCTCTAGTCTTTGGAACATCCAATCCTTCAACAGTTTTCTTTGTTGTGGCTAGAGGACCATCAGTGATGATGTCCCAGAGCTCATAGTCTTCTCCCATGATGTGGTCTCTCATTCTATTCTTCCACCAGGAGTAGTAGAGACCATTGAAAAGTGGAGGCTTAGCAGTGGATTACCCTTCCCAGTTTCCAGGTGGTGCACTCATGTTGATCTTTCCTAAGGTGTTAACCTCTTCAAGGATAACCTACTCTGATACCAATTGATGTTCTAAACGTCAATACCACACAAGAGGGGGGGTGATTTGTGTGGTACCCAATTTTCGCTCTAGAAGAACCTGGTTCTTCTAGGTGTTCTAACTATTGCAGTTTGCGGAATAATAAATGCATAAACTAAAGAACACAGATATTTTTACGTGGAAAATACCTGGCTCGAAAGGTGAAAAAACCACGACCTACTACTCAGTAGGATTTTCCCAAACTTCCACTAAAATCACTGAGCCAAAACAGCATTTACAAAAATTCTTTGTAAACCTAAGGATTAACTCTAATCCCAGTGTGGCACACAGCCTCAACTGTTGCGACACTTTCAAGTTAACTCTAACTTGAATACTCAAAGTACCTAATACAATTGCTTCTAAATAAGCTGAAAGGTACAAACAGAAATTCCTACTACAATTGAACTAGAATAAGAATAAACACAATGGAACCGGTTCTTCTCTCTCGTTCAAGTAGCTTTAGGAGTGCACACTTATATCTCACATATATTGCTTTCAAAACAGACTTGCTCTTTTGCTCTCAATTATGTTTTACTTCTGCGTATGTGCAACACCTGTAATAGAGAACAAACTCAGTTATTTATTGAGTTAGTAATTAGAGTTTGATTGAGACTCTATTGCTTATCCTTAGACGATTTTGAGTCCTTGACCAATACAAACTCCAACCCTTATCCTAGATTAGGATTGTGTTCTCTCCTCATAAGGAGACTGTTCTCCTTATCCCAACTGCAATCTTTTCGATTTAGTTCAGAAGATATTGTTGCTTGATCTCTACGGTATATCTTCCTCACGTGCATCTCATATGCAATGGTTGATAAACATTGTGTTTCACCAGATGGACTAGGTCCATTACTGAGTTCATTTGTCAATCTTCAAAACTTCAACTGAACTTGGGCCAACAGCTATTTACGAGCATAGACGAGGACAACGAATGAGGATGGATGGGGCAGTTTGTTCGAGTGAAGACTTCCGACCTAATCCCGACCAAAAAGGTGCCATTTCCCGAGAAATGGAATATGAAGCGTAAGTACAATCCCACCTATAACTTCCATTTATTGTTTTATTCCCTTTGCTCTTTCTCATCGATATCCTTTCTTATGATGTAGAGGTCTCTTGGATGCCCGGTGCAATTCCTAACCTCGAGAGCTGGGTTTGAAAATTGGCTTTGACCTCTTCGTAGATGCGGTTTCGCTTCTGCGGGAAAAACCACCGCATCTGCGGAGCCTGCTGCACCAACCAAAACCGCTTCTACGGTCTTCTCTTCGCACCTGCGATGCCGCTTCTGCGGTCCCATTTCCGCAGAAGCGGAAATACCAGAAGCAGCAGCCAAATCAAAATCTCCCAAGTCCAAAACTCTCCGTTAGCCATCCGGAATCACCCCTAGGCCCCCGGGACCTCAACCAAAAACACTAACACATCCCAAAACATCATCCAAACTTGTTCCAATTATCCAAACATCTCAAACAACACCAAAACCATCAAATTACATCGAATTCAAGCCTAAGTTCTTCTAAAACTTCCGAAACACGCATTCGATCAAAAACCCAACCAAATCACCTCCGAACGTCCTGAAATTTTGCACACACATTCAAAATCACATAACGAAGCTACAGCAACTCTCGGAATTCCATTCCGACCCTCGGATCAAAATCTCACCTACCAACCGGAAATCGCCAAAATTCTAACTTCGCCAATTCAAGCCTAATTCTACACCGGACCTCCAAAACTACTTCCGATCACACTCCTAAGTCACAAATCATCCCCCGAAGCTAACCGGACCATCAGAAATCATAACCGAACCCTCTAACACATAAGTCAACGTCCGATTGACTTTTCCAAACTAAGCCTTCCTTAAAGAGACTAAGTGTCTCATTTCCTTCTAAAATCAATCCAAACCAACTCGATCACACAAGACACTGATATGAAGCATAAAGAAACAGAAAATTGGAGAAACGGAGCAGTAACTCATGAGACGACGGGTCGGACCGTCACAACACGCAAGTCATAATGCTTTATATAAAACTAATCAAGGTCTCAAACCGCCGAACGGAATGCTAGAACTCAAAACGATCAATTGGATCGTCACAGTTTATAGCATTAAAATAGGTCTAAGAGGTGGGAATATATTTGGTACCAAAAGCAAGCAGAGGATAAAATTAACCTATTTCTAATAGTTTAAGGATAATTTTGCCCCTTTTACGAACAATAAAAAAGATATACAAATTGTTCAACAACTTCTAATGACAGTTTCCCTTTGAAAATTTACCTGAAAATCTGTATCAACAAATGGAGAGAGAGAGTGAATTTTTTTTTATTTTTTTCCAAACCCCAAATAAGTCAGAATGATAATGATACAGTTATTTCACAAATCTGTCAGAATGTGATAATGATACAGTTGTGGAATCCCTCGGACCATCCAGCATTTGTGATAGATTCTTGGATCTACTTTTTTTTCTCTTTCCCTATTGCTCTATTTACAAAATCCTAAAGAAAATGAATTTTTTTTCTTTTTCTAGCTAAGAGAACTTGAAATAACAGCTTCTTTGTCAATATCTGATGAATTCAGCCTCTTAACTAGTCTCTCAAGGGCTTCTTTCATCCACCATTGCTGACAAACTTCACTTGCTTCCTCCACACTCATCTGCACAATACAATTAATCAAAATTTTATTAGTGACTTCAGTTTCTTGCTACTTCAAATTAAATACTGAATTTTTTTTCTTAACAATATACTCACCCATGCTCTTCTTCTCAAATTTTGCTCAGGCCAAAGAGAAAGTTGTTCTGTGACAAGCAATGGAAACATGTAACCTTCATGATAGATGCCTTGACTCTTGCTCTTGAATCTCCAGTTTCCTAATTCACACTGAAACAGAAGCATAAATTTATTAATAATTCTTCAACATAACTATACTAATTATATATATTTTTATTAAAAATTAATACATAATTAAAACATGATGAAACAATAGAAAAATGATAGAGACCTGAACAATGCCAAGAACACCAGCTTCTTCAAGGGATTCACGAGAAGCTGCTTCTTCAACAGATTCATCTAGCTCCCATCCTCCCTGCAAATTAAAATTCCATTTGTGTTATTAATTAATCACCGATGACCCAAAGAAATAAAATAAAATAAAAAAATGAAAAATCATTCAGTGATGAATACTATAATGATTATGTACCTTGGGAAACATCATTGCATGACCCTTCTGGGAACTAACAACAAGGACCTCAAATACACCATTTCTTGTAAATCTATATGGAATACATCTGCAAAAATATATGGAAAATTTGCAGAATTAATATTAACACTCAAAAACGCCTAACAGAAAATTTACGTAGAGAAATTAGAAAAAGACAAGGGAAACGAAGACCTACCCAACAACAAGGCGGCGGCCTTTGTTGTACCTCTGCAATTGCCTTCCTGTACGAGAAACCATACAAACCATTTTTCCTTTATTTTCTTTTTCTCAGAAAAGAAAATTCAGACAAGCAGAGAGATTCTGTCTTAAAGGTGTTTACACAAAAATAGATTGAGAAGATATAAGCTAAAAGCCAATGGAAAAAATGATAGGAGAAGAATGGAAGAGAGAAGAATTCATGAAGTTGGATTTGTCTATGGGCTTTAAATAGAGAACATACATATGCTTAAAACCCCTCCCCCACCCCCTCCCCCCTAAAAAAATAAAAAAGTTGGATTTATTAGTTTTTTGATGTTTGTGTTAGCTGATGAAAACCGCGGATGCGTGTTATTATTGTATGGAATAATAATGGAAGTAGAAGTAGAAGCGTGTCACCATACTAACGTCGCCTTCTTTCTTCTTTCTTCTTTCTTAAGCCTTAAGTCTCAATTGCTATTTTCTTATTTACTCCATTGTCCAAATTCATGTGATGTTTTTTCAGCTAGTACAAGTTTAAATGACAGAAACATTTTTAAAATTTATGATTAAAATAAACTATAGAAATTTTTTAAATTATAAATTATTACTTAAGGATAAGATAAAATGTTAACAGTTAATATATTACGTACTATAAATACAGAAAGATGTTATTTTTATTGGGATGACTAAAAAGAAAATAATATAACCTAATTTAGAACAAAGAGAGTAGTATATATATACCATAAAAAGAATAAAACTATCAATGTAATTCCATCATTTATAATAAGCTAGTATTAGTTTTTCTCTATGCTATTTTTTTAATTATCTCGCTAACAATATTAAATTAAATATAAAGAGGTCCTTGTTATAGTAGATCAACATGTCATGATAGTATAAAAATTTACGTTTGCTAATGTACAAAACTTAAGCTAGTTCTTTAATTTTATCTCGTTCTTTTCTTTTTTTTAATTACTAGTTTACTCTCTATTATTTGTCTTGTAATTATTAGGGGCATTAATCATTGGTTAATAACAATGTTGCTATATAGATTTGTTTGGTACTCCACTAATTTAAGGAGCAAATAATTTTTCTTCTCGCGAAATCATTGGGAATAACTTAAGTCGGCATGGAAAAAGATATAAAGCTTAGTCTCAATAAAAGACAAAAACAGAAGAAACAATGGAGAGGTTATTTGATGTGGACGAGTAATTAAATGCAATAATTATTGTTTAATATTTGGATTTATCTTTTGTTAATAGGTATCATTAAACTAATATCCTGCTGGATCTTACTGGGCTGGGATTTTTGACTTTAGTTATAACTACAGAAAGGTGCATGTGTCTTATTCTCCAAAAGAATAAAAAATAAAAGTAAATGCGATTGGAGGGGAAAGACTTCAGTTAGTTACCTAACGTGTCTACTACGTGGTTTTGCAGTGCATTAAGTTTATTCTCTACTTTATTTCCTTTTTAACAAGATTTTCTCCTTTTGCTAATCATGTTTATAGTATTAGATTAAGAAAATTGTTAGTGATGCTTACAGGGCATCTTTTGAATATGTAAGAAAGAAGAATGGTTGAAAATTGATGGACTTCTTTATCCTAAATTCAGTTCTTTCTAGCAGTTGGGCAACTTATAATCTTGTTAATTTTATCTAGGACATGTTAAGTGGGGTATACAGGGCTTGATTTCGTTAACTCTAGGATTAAACTAAATCAAATCGTGATTATCAAACAAATTTAAATTGTTGTAAAAGACAAATGCATTTAAAAACTTTATACCGAGATGTTACTATTCAGCAATTTGGCATTTTTAACATTACTGATTGCTTTCAGATTAGAATCATCATTTTCAAGATGTCTTTCCACAATAGTCGTTATCCTCACGATTAGTTAACTGTTCTTATGCTTACTTAGTCCTTTGACACAATTATTTCGATGTAAATAGAAAGTCAACTTCCACCGGCCAGTTATTTTAGTAATTAATGATTGTTTACTCCAAAATTCGAGTAACAATTAAACTTATATTGTGGTTTTAAAGATACGTGATTTAGTCCAATACCAATTGATAAACAAGGAATCAAATGCATAAATTAAAGAATAACGTAAGTCAAACCAGTGTGCAAACAAGTCTCGACCTCGAGTTATGCCAGTCTCAAGGTGGGTCAGTGGAAATAATAAATTATAAGGCAGCTCAGATGAACAGTAAGCAAGAAAATGATGAATGTTTATTCTCTTGTCAATGATTGATGATATTACAAATGAATGGGCTCCCCTTTATATAGGGGAGTCCTAAATAAGGTACATTTCCATTTTTAGTAGGGAATCTTATTAGAGAGCTGTCTAACCGCCTAGTACAAATCCGTTGCGGAATTTACGCCGTGATCTTAGGGCCGTTGCGGGAATCCCGCTCTTTCTGTTATGAAACCATAACGGTATCTCGAGGTTGGTCATACTCGGCCTCGATGTTCATCGAGCACTTCGATCCTCGAGTCTTGTACTCCGCCATCGGGCTCGAGCCTGGTCCATTTTGAACTTAGGCTCGAATAGACTCTTCGAGCCTACGAAATCGGGCATACCTAATTTTCACCGTATACAGATAGCCCCCGCGTTTCTTAGAGTAAAATTATAAGAAACGATTTGATCCTCGATCCTCCGATGTCTCGATCATGATGTCAATTCCATGACATCAGCGACAAAAGTGATTAAAGGGTCGCGTCCGCATAGCTCCCAAGGCCATTAATTGAAGGCGGCTGATGGTTGGCGATTAGCTTCCTCAAACCGTTGAAGCGACAACTATAAATAGGTCAATTTCTCAATCTTTGCAATCTTTAACGGTAATCCGACGCCGACTGCTTGCTGGTAGCTTGGAAGAGGGGAAACACTGAAGCTTTAAAGGCCGCTGAACCGGCGCTGGTTGATGCGGTTCAATCTCAAATAGAAGAAATCTCGGAGGGGAGCTCGAGTAGAGTCCCCGAGCCATCGGGTGATAAAAGCGCATCTCGCCGTGAAGAACGTCTGGCGGGTAAGCTTGAAGGGTCTAATTCCGAGGCCCCTCAAAGAGAAGAGAATGTCCCAAGTGACTCACTTGGCATATTTAATATAGATGAATCTCCCCCTAGCCCTATGTTGTCCGAAGGGCAGTTCCGAGATGCCCGGGCTATGAAGACTCTCGATGTGGGGACGACCCACGACGGGAATGATATTTTCCAAGGATGCTTCGCGGGGGTCGAAGATGGTCCCGATCCGGATGCTTCGTTCATTTTTTATGAGGCCCAGCGGCTTCTTAAACAAGTAAGTTTCTGCCTCCATAATTATTCTTGTGTTTTATTCTCGTTTTTCCAAGCCTGACTTTTTTCCTTTGTGTGAAGGCCATGACGCTCCATCGAGAAGCGTTTTCCAAATCTCGAGCCGAGCTTGCCCGATGGGAGGCCGAACTCAAGAAGCTCGTGGAAGAGAGGGACGACCTCAAACTCCTCTACGTTCAATAAGAGGAGGAGATCAGGGACCTCCGAGCTGAACTGATGAGGGCTCATCGAGAACAGACTGAGCTCATTGAGCAGCTAATGTAACTTTTTGGGAGTTTGTTACGTGTTCATTTGACTTAGCAATTAATATTTCGACTTTGCGGGCCCAGCAGAAGGGCGAGCTAGTGGAGCAGCTTCGAGAGGAGGTCAAGACAAAAGACGTCGAGACCCTGGGGTGGAAACAACATATGGATTGTCTTGCCTCGGAGAAAGACACGCTTCGGACCCACCTGACTTCGGTCTAATGCCAACTTCAAAATGTGAAGGGGGAAAACTTGGCCCGGAGCCGGAAGATTGAGGAGCTCGAAGCTAAGTCAGTTGCCGAACTTGCAAAGGCTAAATCTGAGGCGGAGGCGTTTGTGGCCTCATATCGAGCTGACGCCAAGGCTGCCAACATTCGGGAATAGGAGATCTCTATTGCTGCTGAAGTCAAATTGCCTTGTGCTGTCGATCATGCCAGGCGACAATCCCGGAGAAAGACTCTCGAGGAAGTGCACGCTCGTGGCTTTGACCTCTCAGCCGATATCGAGAATGCAAAAGCTTTGGAGGACGAGGCTACAGCTTTACTCTCCGATGACGAAGCCTCTGCTAGTGGATCCGAGAGCGGAGGAGACGAGGTTGAGGTCCCCGAGGAGGCAGTTCTCGAAGATATGGCTCCCAAAGATGCGGCTCCTAAAGTAGACTAGGCCCTTAGGATTTTGTTTTTTGTGTAAGGCCCCTTGTGGGCATTGTAAATACCTTCTATGTATAAAAAATTCCTTTTTTTTCGCTCCATCTCTGATTTGTGGTAAAGTCTGCTTTATTCTCGTCTTGTGAATTTTTTTGATGTTATAACTTCAATAATCGAGTGAGTACTATCTCGAACTCTGAGTAAAACAAACCCTTAGGTTTTTTAGTAAACAATGGGCAAGCTTTGAACTTATAATAGAATACCTGTGACGACCCAACCCGTCGTCACGTGTGTTACCGCCCCGTTTCCCCCATTTTATGCTTCTTCATGTTTCATTATCAGTATTTGATGTGTTAGAGTTGGTTTGGAATGGTTTTGATAAGAAATGAGACACTTAGTCTCTTTTAAGAAGGCTTAAGTTGGAAAAGTCAACCGGACGTTGACCTTTGTGTTAGAGGGCTCGGATATGAATTCCGATGATTCGGTTAGCTTCGCGGGATGATTTGTGACTTAGGAGTGTGATCAAAAGTGATTTTGGAGGTCCGGAGTAGAATTAGGCTTGAATTGGCAAAGTTAGTGAGCCTCTAATACAAAATATTCACCTAATCCACAAGTCTGTCTTAGGAAAGAAAATACAATTAAAAGGATAGGGATAGATGGGAGAGATCAGGCTGCGAACGCCATGCAGCTACCTCGATACTCCGAATACTGCTGCTCAGCTAGACAAATCCTCACTCACCCTGTGGTGTACCTGATCTGCACACACGGTGCAGGGAGTATTGTGAGTACTTCCAACTCAGAAAGTAATAAATATAAATAATGTTTGAGGATAAGAAATCCTAAATAAAACAAGTTAAAGCTATAAATACAGTAAACCAGTAAAGACAATTTTCATAATACCATAACAGATAATAATAAATGACAATAAAACATGCAATGCAAACATCATAAACCAGTACTCTCCAGTACCCCGCTGCGGCCGTGCAGCCCGCTCCATTTATTTAACGTCGACGGCGCTCACTGGGGGTGTGCAGAC